TTTGAAATATTAAAATATTATAAATTCCCTTGAAAATTTGATTTTTTTGATTTAAAATTTTTTTTTTAATTTGAATTTTATTGAAAATTTAAATTTTTTTTGAAATTTCAAATTCTTTTTGAAAAATTTGGCGTTGAAACTTGTTTTAGACAAATAAAAATTTATAAATATAATTTCAATCCGAATTTAATCTCGATTTTTCGTGCACTATACTGCACTACAGCTGCTTTTAGTTTATTCAGAAATGCATCTACGGTAGCGCAGATTCTTAATTTTTTTAATATTTTTCACTGGCTTAAATAGTAATTATTATTACTGACGGTAACTGCAATTAACCATCAGGTTATATTAGGAATTACGATTTTGATAACAGAAGTAACTAATTAAAATAATAACAGTTATTATTACTGATTACCATCATAATAGTAGTAGTTACCATCAGGATGGTAAATACTAAAATTCAGTCGGTTTATTTAACTATTTAAATAATATTTACTACTATTGAATTCAATTAATAAATTTTAACATAACTAGATAATAAACTCTACTATAAAATTTTCTCCGTGTAGCTTTAAAAGAAAGATTCGATGATCAATTCTCTTCAGCAGCGAAAATGAAAAAATTAAGCTATACGTACTTTAGTTTATAATTAAATGATAATAAATCAAAAATCAAACACTAAGAATCAAGTTTTTTAGTTATTAATTAAACTTGATAAATTTTAATTTTTGTCTACTCATTAAATGTGAGCTTTGTTTTATCATTCGTAGTTATATAAAATAATATATTGTATAGCTAAGTAAAATAAATTTCCTATTTATGGTAAAATTGAAATAATTATTAAAGTGACTAATAATTAATCACATTATTGAAATATTAATAAATAAATTTCATTGAGTTTAACATTCTTTGTTTGAAACTACTGGTGTCTGTTTTCAGACTCCATTGTATTGTTGAAGACAACAGAATATGAACTGATAACTCGATAACACTACTATTATTGTGAGTTTGTACTAGTTCAACTATTATATGAGTTCAATGTCCTCGAGTAAAAAAAAGAGGAGAGAGAGAGAGAGAGAGAGAGAGAGAGAGAGAGAGAGAGAGAGAGAGAGAGAGAGATAGGATAAATTTCCTATTTATGGTAAAATTGAAATAATTATTAAAGTGACTAATAATTAATCACATTATTGAAATATTAATAAATAAATTTCATTGAGTTTAACATTCTTTGTTTGAAACTACTGGTGTCTGTTTTCAGACTCCATTGTATTGTTGAAGACAACAGAATATGAACTGATAACTCGATAACACTACTATTATTGTGAGTTTGTACTAGTTCAACTATTATATGAGTTCAATGTCCTCGAGTAAAAAAAAGAGGAGAGAGAGAGAGAGAGAGAGAGAGAAAGATACATAAATAGAATATGTATGCTTTATTGAATATCAAAGTTGTTTTGTGTCACTATAAGCTAAAAATTGATACTTTATTCAATTGAAGAAATTTTCAAGTAATATTTATTCCGGAAAAAAATATTGGAGATTTTTCCAATCGAGTTAATTGAAGAAAAACCTATTGTTTACTGATAATATCATTGTTTCCTGCATTATTTACTATTTACTCTGTTGTGTTAAGCATAAATGAGATAATTTATCATGCAATTCAAAAGGACATTTAAAAAAATAATCCAAATTGCCATCTACATTATGTTATTCTGCATTGTTTATTACTAAAAAAAGTTTTAATACTCAATAAATTAAAAAAATAAAATTTCTTTACTTACTCCGATTGAAATGAATGTAAATAGTAACAGTTCGATGGTTAATTGATCTGATAATTTCGCAGTTGGATAAATACTTGGAATGGTTAATCAATATTTAAATCACGATAAGCTGAACTCTTCAATGATATCCAAACCTGAAATATTGCACGCCTCATAACACAATTTTTAATTATTAATCAATAATTGATTTAATATTTAAACAGTAACAAATATTGACTCGCCAATTAAGAAATTTTTTATGATAATGGAAACAACGATTGTCAAAAAATGTATTTTTTCATCAATAAATTATCATTGTTATTCAACGTCTTAAATAATAGAACAAATTAAAAAATGTTCCACTTCCCGTAGAGAAAATTGAAAAATTATTAGAGGTCTTACGAAGCTATTGCTTCAATTTTCTTCCAACTGAAAATTTTCTACGTTTGAAATTAAAAATATAAAATACCTAGATTCCCAGCTTAAGTTAAATAGAATCTTATTTTTCTCATTGCTGAAAACAAAACCATTAACTCCATATTGCGCAAGAAAACCGCATCATCCTATAAACAATAACATTTATTTTGAAACCGCAACATCTGGTAGAGCAGGTGTTACACATTTTAAAGTCTCTGGAATAGAAGTAATAGTAAAAGCGATAACATTTTCACTTGTTTGAGTCATGTTGATCAAAAGAATAATATTAAAACTAATCAATAAATTAGTAAAGAAGATCTATTATTTTTTCATGTTAAATAAAAATTATTAGGTAAAAATGAAAATTTTTAACAATTTATAATACTTAGATTCTTTTTTACGGTAGAATTCTTCTTACTAAGCACGATGATTTTTTTTGCAACTTAATTAGTTTAAATTTTTAAAGCAACTGTAAGTGACCTCAAAAATATGTTGCGTTTTACAAAAACTTAAATCAAAATATCTAACTCGTGTACTATGTGATTAAGAGGGATAGCCAAAAAAAATGAGTGAGTTTCGGGAATTGTTATGGCCTGGAAAACAAAAGAATATCAGGATTATTTTTCATTTATTTTGTTAAGTATACATCCAACAATATTTACATCAATTTTTATTGAATAATAGAAAAAAACCTTAAATCTATGAGTGTTGCCGTGAATCCCGAAATAAAATTCCCCTCCATCATCGCATCGATTTCTCAAAAATGGGTTATCTGAAAAGAAAAAAAAAATTCAAGTGGCTGTATCCAGTGGCTATTTCTCTTAACAATTAGCGATTTTTAAATAATAACTGTATGTATTATTTACATACGACAGAATATTTACAAATATGAGAAGATTTTTATTTTAGTATTATTTTAAAAATTATTTCCGATTTGGCGTTTTAAAGAAATTTCTGGTTATTTCACCAATAAAACAGAGTAACTATTCAAGTGCCAACACATAAGGGTGCAACGCCCTATCGATCTTTCTTTACTCTCTCGTGCACTTTTACGATACACAGTTACATTCAAGTGATGGTTTAAAATAAATTAGATGTAAGCGAGCTTTTGTTAAATGTACAATAATTTTTGAATTTAGGATATTATTTATATTCGCTTGTACAAATTATAAAATAAAAAAATAATATTTCCAACAGGTAATGTCAAAAAAAAAAAAATATAAAATTCAATGAAACGTCAATCTAATGAATATATTGTTGCATTAAAAATTTGTAAATGATAAGCGTTAAATTATATTCGTAGCTTTATAAGAGTTGTCAACAGTGAAATAAAAGTCAGTGGCAAAATGCATCGAATATCTATCAGTATTTATTCATTATTTTTTTTTTGTTTACTGCTAGTTTTAGTAAAAAAAGGCATAACTCAAGTGGATTTATTGTCTGATATTAATTTTAATACTGGTAATATCGGTCATTATGGATTGGTTCATCCGAAAACAAACTCAAGCTCATTTACCGTGCAAGAATTGTTGAGGAGAAAGTTTAAACTCCTTGAAAAAATGGTTAACTGCATAAATAATAAAAGTCGATCATTATTCTGTAGAATTGTTCGGAGGATACACAGATTTAATGAAAAAATATATAAAAGAATAACAAATCGAATTAGTACTCGTAAGTAAGAATCCTAATTCCAATTTATAATACATTGCATATGTGATTTTTCAAATTTGAAAAGTCACTAATTACAATCAATATCTATCTTGTATAAAGAATTTTGAAATTTTGAAGACTAAAAAAATTATATTTGTATTGACGAGATGTTTTTGTTGAATTTTTAGATTTTTTCGAACTATCACCCCAAGCAAAAGCAAGACGAATGCAAGGGATAATGCATAGATTTTGGACAAAATATTGTTTAAAAGAATCCTTCACCATTAAAGTTGTATATGAAAATTGTGTTTTGATCGCAAAAATATACCAAATCGAACATAAAGTAGGATTCTTGAAATTCTTCGCAAAAAATGAGCGTAAAATATTAACAAATATTGACCCTAAAGATCCACCTCTTCCAGAAATTATAAAACGGACTTACAAAGCTATGCAGCGTAAAATCGAAGAAAAATAAAGGAAGTTTAATTGTAACTCATTACATTATCAATAAGAAGAAAATTGAAGTATAATATAATAAGTACATCTTAAAATTATCGTTAATTATTTTATCATCTTGTGTAATACTTCTATTTATAAAATCCTTGATAGTTAAGCATAGCATATTAAGTAAATATGAAATAAATTTAAAAACAATGATATTAAGAATATTCTCCGTGCACAATAAATCATTTAACTCTCTATAGTCTATTTAAAACGTTATTATTATTTTTATTATTATTATTTTCATGATTATTATGATTATGATGATGATGATGATTATTATTATTGTAATAAAAGTATACTGCTTATAACTTTTATGGTATTCAATTTACTCCGGTATATATATTATATTTACGGGGATTAAAATCATAATCAATATTTAATATCCAATTATAAATCTGTCATTGATAAAATTGTGAGTATACATTGTAATTAAATTCTAATCGTATATTTTAGTTTAGTTTAATTTTAATCTCCATGAGGAAATCTAGTGTTGATCAAATTTATAAAGCTCTGCTTGTCCTTTGGACAGCAGAATCTTATAACAAAATATTTACTTATTCAGATAAATTCAAAAATACTGCTATTGACGTAAATGTATCGAAATTAAACTCTCACGATCTTGGTAATTTAAATTACGGTAATAATGAATAATTAATTTTATTGTGACTCATGAAATTAAATAACAATTATATACCTGTGATCATAGCTAGAATAGATTATTTGGCAAGAATGACAGCCTTTTATTCACCTATTCCAAAACAAGACAGAAGCATTAATATTACCTGTAAGACGAGTAATACGTCTCTTTTAACTCAAAGGTAGATAAATAAATTTGAATAAATGATACCACTGAAAATCGTAGATTTGCAATTAATAAAATAAGTATCAATAATTAAGTGTTTTTAACTCATTTAGTATACTTGAGTAATGAATGCTGTTTGTTGAGAACAGTTTATTATTGACCTTGTGATTTTCAGAGTATTGTGCTTAATATCCCGTGTACAAATTTTTCAGACTTTTCTCTGAAAAACTCTGAAAAAAAGACTTATCTTAAGTTCTAAAGACTTCTCCAGAGTTTTTGAGAGAAAAGTCCGAAAAACTTTCACCAGGGATTGTAATCTCGTTGCTACTATTATTATTAATAAATTATATAATGATGTAATAAGTTAATTCCAACAATTATAAATTTTGAGAAACAATTATAGACTATTAATACTTTTATTGCAGGTTAGAAAGAGGTAACAGATTCTCTGGGAACTTAACAGAAGAAGATTTGTGCGCTCTTAACATTACTCACACAGTACCAAATCGTTGCATATTTACTGCACAATTAACAAAAATTCTTAACCTATTAAATGAACGGCAAAAATTAATCGTTCAAATAGGTGCAAACGGATATGAAGTAAAATCAATAGAAAATTTAATGGATTACATTATAGAAAATCTCAATAAAAGTATTCAAAAACTAATAAATGCTGTAGAGACAGGTACTCGACCCAATGAAACCCTTTTGAATGAATTGTTTCGATGGCTTCCTGATGGTTTAGAGCCTTATCCATGTGACTTATCTAAACTTACAACAACAACCACAACAACAACAACAACAACAACAACAACAACAACAACTACTACTACTACTACTACTACTACTACTACTACTACTACTACAACAACAACAACAACAACAACCACAACGACAACCACAACAACCACAACAACAACAACAACAACAACAACAACAACAACAACAACAACAACAACAACAACAACTACAACTACAACACCTAAACCTACAACGACTACAACGACTACGACAACTACAACTACAACAACAACGACAACGACAACCACAACCACAACAACAACAACCACAACTACAACAACGACAACAACAACAACCACAACAACAACTACTACTACGACTACAACTACTACTACCACAACTACAACACCTAAACCGACAACAACCACTACAGAGTCATGGTGGGATTGGGATGATGATCTATTTTTCCCGGATTTAAGTACGACTACAACACTATCTCCTCTAACCCCTTCAGAAATAGAAGAACCTCAACAAACGTTTCCTCCCTATCCCGAGCCATCAACAGTAGGTGATCCTTTTCCTCCTCCAAATATTGAAAATCGTTAGCAATTTCATTAACCGTTTAGATAATAAATATTTTATTGTATCCACGCTTGATGAAATATATTATTTTTATGAACGCACCAAATGCGCTACTACACTATACAATTCCAAGCGATCAATAGTTTCATTTTTGCATCAAAATATTACGAGATATATTTTGAGATATATTATCTTTACATTCATGATGTAAAATCCTTTTATAATCATGAATTAATGTTTTTTATCCAAGTAAATCCATTTATTTCGCGAGTCTGATTTTCCCAACAAAAATTATCTGTAGATTAAGTTTTTAATAATACGTTGTGATCTTGATTAGAATAATAAATTTCACAGAGTACTTGCGTGACTTAGAAGATAACTCAGAAGATGAGGAATGAATAAAAGGAATGTCTGAAGAAATTATATCATAACTTGAATGTTTGTGAAGAATAATCCACTGGAAATCAAGGCTTTATTCAATCTAAAATTTGTTAAAATACATCGGTCCTGGTGTAATTATCTAATAAAAATTTTTTCATAATTTACTTGAAAAATTTTCACATTACACGCTACCTTAATCTTTATGGCAATATTTTATTTTTTTTACGATAATATCACAGTAGAAAAAAAAATCACCAAGAAGTTAGTTTTAATGTTTTGCTAAAGTAGTAAAAGCCATATTTTAAATGCAATTGGAAGTTTTTTAATATAATTTCAGTAGGGTAAATATTCAAGATTATTACTTTAGTGAAAATTATTTTGTAATATTGAGATGAAAATGACTGGTTCGTAACAATTTTAGGACAATATCACAAAAAAAAAGAACAAAGTTATAATATGTGATTTTAAAATATCTCAGAGCAGCAGGACGAGGTGGCCGAGTGGTTAAGGCGTTGGACTGCTAATCCAATGTGCTCTGCACGCGTGGGTTCGAATCCCATCCTCGTCGGAGTTTTCTTTTGGTAAACTGAGCAATTTTAATATTTTTTTCATTAATACAAGTTCTGTTTAAAAAAAAAAGAAAAAAAAAGATTACTTAGTTAACGAACAACAATCATAGAGTTTTATAAATTGCGTTTATCTCACATGAAAACGTCCTATGCTTCAAGAAGTTTAATTTCAAGTAATTTGCCCGTAATTTCCAGTAGGATACGAGTTCGTCATAGATAGACTAAGCCTTATGATCATGACTACTCAGATACATACATATTAATGTACTCACAGGAACAGTAATTGTAATAACTGTACATAGTGCGAACTAATGCAACATAAAATATGAAAGTGATTAACTACATAAAACATACGATAATTGCAATTAAAAAATTGAAAATGATACTTTTTGCTCATACATTACACTCTAAAAATTTAGGAGTGAATTCTTACTCCCATAACTCGGAGCACTGGAGTGAAAAAATAAAACACTCCACCCACGGAATAAATCTGTAGATTTATTTTTTAGTGAAGTAATTCCGGAGTGAATATATATTTTAATGCGAAAACATTCGATTACGGAGTTTTTTAACTAAAGTGAATGAAAGAAGTTTCATATCCCAAATTGCAAACAAATGCTTCAAAAAATTTATCTTAAATTTAAGTTTGTAAATATTAAGTATATTATTCCAATAAATTCGAGATTTTTGGAACATAACACCAAATTTGCAAAAAGCTTATTTTGATTTAAAGTCTTGGTGAGAAATCCCTACCTAAAAAGTAAAACATAATAAATTATTAACATTGCTATGTTTATTAAATAAAATTAATTGATATAATGTTACTAAAATTAACTGACATGTAGCAATTTTCAGAATTTCTTAACAAGTAAATTATTATAGAGAGAATTCTTTAAAACGAGTGCTACCATGTAAACAAAAAAATATTGATTTAATTTTTTTTTATTTAAATTTGTTTGTTATATCTAACTTAGGGAAAAGTTATGTTAATTTTCAACAACTCTGAATATGCATTTTGTAATTTTTGAACAAATAACTATTCTTTTAATTTTATTTAATAAAAAAAAAAGAAGGTATTCACTGCACGGAGATTTTTTCATAAATAATATAAAAAAATCTAAAAAAACGGTTGACCCTGCAGGCCATCCTTGAAACTTCCCACTATACTCGAGCTCAAAATGCTCGAAAAAGTTTGTATTGCAAAGTTATGAGCTTAAGAATATAGCTTTTATATCTTTGAAGCCCGATAAGCTCAGTCGGTAGAGCTTGAGACTCACGAATATGGTAATTGCAAACTAAACGAACCCGACAACAAAGATAACGTTAAATGCGTCAATTATGGATTAACAGGACACCTAACCAGCTATAAAGGCTGCGATTTTTATAAATTTGGTAGGAACAAAAAGAAAAAAGAAGCAACTTGAAGATCAGCAAGTTCAACTAAACTTTAGCAGAATCGAAAAGTTGTTTAATGAGCTTAACTCTCAATATTAATCGTAAAAAAAATAATCAACAATTGCAGACATCAATTTAAATTCAATACAAACAAATCGAGATATGACCTACGGTGCTTTATGATGAAGTAAACCTTGACGTCATACTCACTGAAACCACTGAAACCGAACTAAATCACAACTACAAAGTCGCATTCAAAAAATACCACCTCAATGAACTGACAGAAAGAATGCAGTACAAGAGGGTCATACTGCAATTCTAGTCAGAAAAAAACACCCATTACGAAATGATTAAATTTAATTCGAGATTCAATAAGAGAGACTGGAGTTAACTGAAAACTTGGAATACATCGCTTGCCTCAATTTCTTGAGAATTGAAGGATTGAAGAAAAGGATTGAACAAGGCCATTTATTCATCCTCAGTGAATTTGGTGTACATAGTATAAATATTTTTATTCAGTATTTATTACCGAAAAAACTCGAAATTCAAATGATGGTTTTTAATAGCCTATTTTCCGCCTTTCTTCCCAAATTTATAATAATGTAAACACAAATTAAGAATGATTTAATGGACATTAAAGTAAAATTTAAAAGCTTTGATCAACAAATAAGTATTGATTGCGAGAGTATGACTAGTATTTAGAAACTCTAAATTAATTTTGTAAGTATCATATGGATTGATGTTTTTTAAGTTTGTTGATTTGTAATTTCAATTTTTTTTTTTAATATATGCACTGGGTTTTTTCAATAAATTTTGATAAAAAAAAAGGAGAGCATGAGACCCTTAAACTCAGGGTCGAGGGTTCAAGCCCCACGTTGGGCGTTTTCTTTTGCTCTTTTAGAAAAAATAATAATAATCACAATAAATCAGATATCTGTAAGTAATAAGAGCATTCTTATCAACTATTGATTTAAGACAAAATAGACAGTTAATATAGTATATTCACCCATAAATGAAATATCAATATTCAAGTGCCAATGGGGCACTCGCAAAGTAATTTGCATAAAGTATCGAAAAGCTTTTAACATCATTGGTAGGGCGCGACAAAATCCAATAAAGCACGATAAGAGTGTTTGTCGAAAAATTTATCCTGACGGATTCCATACTACGAATAAGTAAGTATGTTAAACATAGTAGTAGGAAAATCTATCGTTTCAAGATTTGAGCACTTTTTTTATTTTATTCATTGTGAAGCAATGGTATATTTACTCAATATCACTTATAAATATCATAACTTCTCCACAAATTTATCTATCTATCACGACTGAAACTGATTTATGTTAGTGTAGAATGGATAGCAACTCGGAAATAGTTATGTTGTAGGGCAGTCGGATGCAATGGATAAAATGATAGCTTCTAAACCTCTAATTAGATACGCTTTAAAAATGAAAAGGAAGAAGCTCTGAACGACTTGGTACTGCTAGAAGCTCCTTCCATGCTCAAAATCTACATCAACGAAAATTCGTGCTCTGCTGTTGCAGCAAATTTGTATAGCTATGTACATTATAAAGAAACGTAAAAGAATGATTTATTTTGAGTAAAGTCGTTAGTGAAATAGTGAATTCTATTGAGATAGATTAGCTACTCAAGAGGAGTGTACATAAGCTGTCCGATAAATAAGATTCGTGACTTCATGATTATGTTTACTTTAACAACTAGAACTTTTGATTAATGTTTTTATGCTATTATTTTTTGCTTTTTTTTACACAAAATCGTGACGCAATAGCAGAAAAAATTGAGTTCAGCAGTTGGATTGCAGTCGTCTGGAAAGGAAGGAAATAAAGTTTGGGCAGACGTTCCATCGTTTTTTATCTGCATTGCGTGTAGCATTCACTACTTTATTTCGTCTAAGAGCCGATTTTCATCGCTTCAATTCTTTTCTATCAACATTATTGAACTTATTGACTAGAATTATTCTATTTACTTTTGCAAATCTTGATTATGCTCATAGATACACTGATAGGAAAGTTGCATTTAGATAAAAATACTCCTTCGATTTTTATAATCTCAGAATAGCCCTAAGCAAACTCGAATGAAAATTAATTGCGCATATTTTTAAAAAAGCTAAGGGAATCTTAATGTAAAATATGTAGACTATATATCACGTTGGCCCAATGTTCGTCTCTACCGTCTTTCTTACTGAGATTTCCATCGTTTAAGTATCCCTTGTGGGTGCTAAAAAAATGTGCATGAATTATAGCTTTTTTCACACTTACAGACGAAAATAAAACTCCGTCTTTTATTATTGTGATGGTATTTATCTTGCGAAACGATTAAAAACAACAAAAAAAAACACACGCACATACAACTAACAAAAATGAACAGTCAATGAATAGGTAACTGGCGTTAATATCAGCGGATAAAATATCCCTGACAAAATATCTTTGCCAGAACATCCTCGTACAAAATATATTAGTGACAAAAAATCTTTAAGACAAAATATTAGTTGTCACAATATCTTTTATAAAATATCCCGACAAATATAAAAAAAAAAATTTGAAAAACTATGGGAAAAATTATTTAGAAGATAATGAGAAAGTCATGCTCATAAAATCCATGATAAAAGGGCACAATACCATAACAAGCTTATGAGTTGTTCTACTTTCGAATTTGTTCAAT